ACTTAGTGATTATTTTGCCTTATGTCTGTTCTAGAGACATGTTACAGCTTTTTGATAAAGCTATAATTGGTTTTCTTTTGGAAATATGTTTCAAATTCACACTGAATGCATTTATGACTGTAAAGAATGTCTGTGTGTGTCGAAATCGCAAAATTGATCAAAGAAATCGCGATAGTTTTTTTTTGTCCATATCGCACAGCCCTAATATATATATATGCATTTATTTTTGTTCAGTTATGAATTGAATGTAAGGGGTCCCTGACTCCAAAAAGTTTGAAAACCCCTGACCTAGGACACACCTCATGAAACTAGGACTGTTCTAAGTAAACCTGGGCATCTGGTCACCCTGCCACACACACATACACATTCCATTTGCATACTTCAGATACTCAAACTTGCTGGAGAAGATGGATTTTGCACTATTTTTTCTTTCTATTTCTGTGTGGCTTTTTATGTTTTATTAAGCCGTAGTACTTTGCTAATGCTGCACTCTAGTTTAATTGCTGTGGTGGTTCTATTTAAAATTCTTTTTGCTTAATTAAGATTTTTGTTGATTTAATATATATGTAACATTTTTAATGTATTAGAAAGAAAAAAAAGTCTTATATTTACCAAGTCTGCATTCATTTGATCCAAAATACAGTAAAAATGGTAATATTGTGAAATATTATTACAATTTAAAATTACTGTTTTCTATTTGAATATATTTGAAAATATAATTTATTCCTTTGATGAAAAGCTGAATTTTCAGCATCATTACTCCAGTCTTCAGTGCCTCGTGATCCTTCAGAAATCATTTTACTATTTAATTTTAATATAAGTTTCAGGAAAATAAAAGCAGTCTCTCTCTCTCTCTCTCTCTCTCTCTCTCTCTTTCTCTCTCTCTCTTCAGTCTTCTCAAGTATCTATTCCTCCTCTTAGTTGGGTGTGCCAGCTGAGATTGTTGCAGCCACTGCAAGTTACTCTTTATACACATTGTATTATGTTCAATATATATATATATATATATATAAAGAGATTTTACATAATGGAAAGTCTATTTTAGAACTATGAACCTGTAATCCATTGAAAAGAATTGTAACACAATGATGTTTATATTTAATTCCACATATGTAAAAGGCAGTTTAATAATTACTAAAATGATGTATAATTACTTTACAATTAATTTAGCATTATTTGTTTCCACATTATGGAAATGAGATGCTTGGGTTTTAGGATGAAAACAATCCAACATTTCTTAATGCTCCTAAAAGCAAGCTTCATTTTCTTTAAGCAAACAATGCGGGTGAAATATGACCTGTGCATGTTCTCTGCGTTTTTCTTGAGATTTACCCATCAACAGAACTCTCTAAATGGATTATAAATAAGCACATGATCACACAGCATCAGACTGCCTCTCCTCACTTTACGCCAGCCCTCCGGGGATCGTTCAGGTACTGCCGATGAAGTCATCTCTGGCTGAAGACTGGCTGTTGCCTGGGAGACGGAACTTCAGTCATCCGGTCTGTCATCATATGACATCAACCGCTGCCTCACACAGCTGCTGTCTGCTGCGCTGAGAATGCAGAACGTCTGCTTTATGAAATGTCATTCGCATCTCACATACTATTTTGATGGTGCTAGTTATCACTGACGAGGCCTATTTGAGTTTGAATTCAGCCAGGGTTATTATTATTAACTAAAACTAAAACCATAAAAACATTTCATTACTTGAAATAAAAATACATTTTAACTGAAAAAAAAAATACACTTATTTTATTTCAGTTAGTTGGTGACTTTTCTCATTTTCATTTAGTTGAAGCAGGGTTATTAGTTAACTAAAACTGAAACTAAAATTAAAACCATAAAAACAAGATTCGTTATTTGAAATTAAATAAACATTAACTCAATAAAACCTAAAAAAATTTATTTTTATGTCAGATAGTTCTCACGGCAGCATTTCTCTTTTTAAATTTTTTAACTTGATGTACTAAAATAACTAAAACTAAAACTGAAATAGAAATGATTAAAAACTGTATGTATATAAAAAACAAAAACTATTAAAATGACAAAAATGCAACAAAATTACTAAAACTAACTAAAATTAAAATGAAAACAGAAAATCTAAAAATGAACAAAACACACACACACACATACACACACACACACACACACACACACACACACACACATATATATATATATATATATATCAATGATACTAAAATAAGACTGATTTCCATAGCAAATGCATTTGTATCTTAAGGTCAAATTTAGAAACCAAACTACACCATTATGAGGCCCAAATTCAACTTTTTTTCCAACAAAAATGGCATTAAATTAATGATTTTTCAGCAGTAGCTCATATTTTGGAGGATGTTTCAAATACATTTATTGGTGACATGACATTTTCAGCTCAGACAACTATCCTCCAATCCTATGTGGATAATGCCAGTCTTCCATCGTTTTTATTTATGTTTCTTATCATTGATTTCTCTCTCCTCAGGAAAAGTATAGAGGTGGACGAAACACAGATGAGACCCGTCCCGAATCCCTTCCCAGAGTTGCTGCCGTCCACTGTCTCTCTACTGTCTGAGTGTCTGTTACCCTGGACCAAAACCAGTGCGACTCAGGTGAGACATGCGTGATTTATTCAAGCCACTGCTGTTCAGAAGAGCTGTCCACTGCCTACATAGGGAACATTATGCGATTGGCTTCTCTTTGGAAAACAGATGGAATGCTGCATTAGAATGTGGCCAAAGGACGTTTTCTTAAGAGGCTACAACAGCTTTTGTATCTATATAGGCATCTCGCTAGGTTTTGGAACAAAGCCATGTTGAATCATATGGAAGCATATCATTTTGTATGTATGCATTTGCATGAATTGATTGGTTGGTTGGTTGATTGATTGATTGTCCCTGGTCTTCTTGTTCTCATTTGGTTAAAAAGTCCAGAAGCCAAAACAAACTTTCATCGCTTTCTCATTTCGTTGTTCAGCCCTCTTAGTTTCGTTCACAGTCAGTAACTACAGTAGAAATGCTCAGATATTTCAGTTTAAATCCACTTCTTGTGAGACTAAATCTAAAACCACAGCATACAAACAGATGCAGACTGATAAACAGGCAGAATGTTTAAACTTCCCCTGAGTGCTAATGACGTACGCTGGAACAGAGAGATGTTGAACCAGTTTAGCTGGAATGGAAATGAGCTGGGACGGGGAATGAAATCGCTGCGTCAGCCCTCTGAATCCATCCATTTTTGGATGTAGTTTCTAATCTAGTCCGACAACAAGGGAAAAGAATGGCAAAGGGCATTGTAGACATGTTTAACAGCACTTATAATTAGAGAAGGAATGTACGTCAAATACATTTGTCGGCTTTGATTTGTCGGCTTGACAAAATTGTGCATGAAAGTTTAAAATTGTTCAACTGCTATGGTTTTATGTAGACCGGATGGATGGATCGATCAGTTAGCTGAAGTACTATGTTGAGTTTGGTTGATGTAGCTTTAAAATGTTTGTATTAATTACAATCAAAAAATTTGAATGGAAGTCTGTTGGATATTGGAGATATCTGATCATCCACTAGAGAAAAACCCATATGTCTGATCAATTAAAAAATATACAGTCAGAACAGACTGAAGATCTGTGCTGAAATTGGTGGATGTAGCTTAAAAGATCTAGAATGAGTTACATTTAGACTAGGGATGCGCCGATACCACTTTTTTCCAGTACTCGCCCGATACCGATACTTTTATTTTTGGTACTTGCCGATACCGAGTACCGATACAGATATTTTTATTGCATTTGTACATTTTTTAAATATTGGGTACAGAAACCAAAAAGGTATGTATAATGTTAGTTGGTTAACTTCATTTATCAAATAGATACAGTCAAACCAAAATTTATTCAGACACCTTCAGCATTTCTCACATTATCACAGTTTATTCGCTATAGTTTAGAAAATGGTAATAAAATATGACAAGAACTCAGAGTTAAACTGTGTCAGAACAAATTCATCTTGATAATGTCAGATAACTTTGATAGAAAGGTATGTAATGGATTACAATCAACCAAAAATAATTCAGACAACTGTTAGTATGACAGTATTTACACAACTATCAATACTTAGTCGGGCAGCCCTTAGCCTTAATGACAGCCTGTAGTCTCCTGGGCATGCTGTCAACCAG